AGGCATTATGCAAAGGCATCTGAGGTGAAAGAAATCAGGAAGATTATTGTTGAGATACTGACGAAGACACTGAATGGAATTGAAGTAGAGAAACTGGTTAAGATTCTATCAACTGACAATCTGGTGAGGGAGATTGAGACGAAATGCAGTTCGATTTATCCAGTAGTAGCAATGGTAAGAAAAGTAAAGACCATTAAAAATATGCAATGCATCAGAAACAAGATAAAGGGAGAAGAAGAGGAAGCAAAGAACGAATTTGAAGGATGTGAAAGTGACTAAATTGGTTTAGGAGTGGTGTTATTGGATAAAAGAAGGTTTTAATATTATTTAATGTGCATAAGGTAAAATAAGCTTAAAAAGCATAAAAGAAAAATATATTTGCACAATACCCCTCTTAGCATGAACAAGTAGAATATAAAAGTAGAGAAGCTAGAAGAAGAAAGAGAGCTGATACGATAAAGATGGTAACGTGTTGCACAAGAAGGAGCATAGTATCGTCGTAATATTGACCAAGGTCATTGGAAACAGCTTATAGGGAAAATGTTGTGCATAAAGCATGTGCATGAAATCATAATTAAGCATAAATAGGCAGCAAAATTTGACAGATTCCTAAACCCACTAAAAAGTAATTAAAAAAGGGTGGGCCTCTGAAAGTGACCACAGGCAAGCAATATCCATTGAACTGGGTGAAATATGATGGTTGAAAGAAGATGACCAAGACTATGAAACTCTTCAAGTGACTCGACTAATCACGTACTGAAAATAGGTGAGTATGATTTAGCATACAAAAATCAGATCACTTTCGCCCATATGAATATCCATATCCCCTTTGATTAATCTATTTAAGGAGGTGAGTCTGTGTAGACAAAAACAATCAGATCTCTATGTCCCATATGAAATCTATTTAATCAATTGATAATTTCAGATGGCATCAAAAATCACCCATGAAAGGATCAAAAAAATCAAGCTTGCTGATATTTCTCATTCTCCTGCTTGTAGTGGGTGGAGCAGGTGGATTTGCATTCTACTACTTCATTTTGCAGAAGAATAATGATGGATCAAATAAACCAGCAAAAACAAAAGTCCTAAAAGACAATAAACCAGCGCATAAAACACCAAAACATGCGAAAAAAACAGAGGCAACACCAAAAACTCCGCCACCACCAGAAACAACACCAACTATTTCAACAATAACAGAATCAGTAGAAGAAACCGAGAAAGTGAAAAAGAGAGAGAAAGAATTCAACAGGGTTAAAGGAGAGTACATACAGAAAGCAAAGGAGATTGAACCAACTATATTGGCGGCTAAAGCAGCAATTGATAGCATATTAGCAGATGATAAGACCGAAATAATGAAATCGGAAATGACATCGATCTTAAATGATCTCGATAAAAGAATGACGAAATATCATTCTGAACAAACTAAAGAGTTTAGAGAAGACAGAAAAACACAATATGACCATGAGAACCAGAGTGTCCTTGTTTCTATTGATAATAAACAGATGGAAAACGAGAACCACAGAAAGGAAATGAAAGGTAAACTAGAGGAATCATACAACAAATTAGAGGAATTAAAACAAAACTACACACAGAAAGCAAAGGCGATTGATTCAAAATATCGCGTAGAAGATATCAGTGGTGATATCAATGAGAGTTTTAGAAAACAAGTTGGTGAAACATTTTTAGCGATAGATGCTGTGACACAAATGAGAGCAAATATCATCCAAGCATTTGATGAGGAATACAGAAAGAGGCTGAGTGCACAATTGCCAATTGAACGCATTGAAAAGAAAAAGGGGATAAAAGCAAAAGATAGAGATAAAGAAGAAAGACTGAAAAAACAGCAAGAAGAAATCATCAAACAGAGAGCAGAAGAAGAGATAAATAGACAAAAAGCAGAACTACAAAAACAATTGCAAGATAAATTAGACGAGATTAACAGGCAGAATGAAGCAGAAAGAGTGGCAAATGCTGAAATTGCACAGGACCTAGAAACGCGAAGAAAAAACTTAGAAATGAGAAATATACAACTGGAAAAAGAGAAAAAGGATGCATTTGTTTTGGGTAGAGAAGAAGGTGAATTGGCAAAAACCACTGTTTTGAAAGAAGAGAAAAAACTGTTAGATCAAAAAGGAATATATTTGGTAAACCAACAAAAAATGTTACAAGCGCAATATGAAAATTTTCAGGCAAAACAAATGAGCTTAAAGGAAAAAGAAGATGCAGTTGAAAGGGAGAGGGTCGAAAATATCTCCAAAAAGGCGTCTCTGGATGATGCAATAGCACAAGATAATCAGAGGATTCTAGAGGAGAGAGCAAGACTACAAGCAGATCGAGAACNAGAAGAAGAGATAAATAGACAAAAAGCAGAACTACAAAAACAATTGCAAGATAAATTAGACGAGATTAACAGGCAGAATGAAGCAGAAAGAGTGGCAAATGCTGAAATTGCACAGGACCTAGAAACGCGAAGAAAAAACTTAGAAATGAGAAATATACAACTGGAAAAAGAGAAAAAGGATGCATTTGTTTTGGGTAGAGAAGAAGGTGAATTGGCAAAAACCACTGTTTTGAAAGAAGAGAAAAAACTGTTAGATCAAAAAGGAATAGATTTGGTAGACCAACAAAAACTGTTACAAGAGCAATATGAAAATTTTCAGGCAAAACAAATGAGCTTAAAGGAAAAAGAAGATGCAGTTGAAAGGGAGAGGGTCGAAAATATCTACAAAAAGGCGTCTCTGGATGATGCAATAGCACAAGATAATCAGAGGATTCTAGAGGAGAGAGCAAGACTACAAGCAGATCGAGAACTTCATGAAGAGCAAAAAGCAAAAGAATTAGAAGAACTAAACAGACAGATGGAACAGGCCAGATTTGAGTTGACTAATATGAAGGCTAAATTGACCCAGGAAGAACTAAAACTAGCATTTGCAAAACAACAAGATGATGAGAAGAGAAGGAGAGAATTATTGGAAGACCAGAAAAGAAGAGAAACAGAAGAATTAGACAGAAGAACAAA